GTCTGACTGCCAAATGGTTGCTTACATAATTGGCATATATTACCTCCATCGTCGGTTTCCAAAAGAAAATCTCTTACAGGTGCTCGGTTAGTTGCATATAAGGCTTTATCTATTGTTAGAGTTGTTTGTGGTAACATAAGGCCTTGTGTTTTGTGAATGGTCAGTGCGAAGGCATTTTGTATTGGGAACTGTTGTCTTGATACTGTGATTCTATTAATTGTGAAGCATGATGCTGTTTTTTCTACGTTGATCTTTATTATGTTATCATTTATTGGAAAGGTAACTTCTACATTTTCTTTGTTTATTAGGTTTATTATTACTCTGATTGTTCCGTTGTATATACCATGTTTGAATAATTTGTTATTTAGGTACATTACTCTTGTGCCTTCTTGTAGTATAAGGAGATCGAGAAGATTTGTATAGTGTTTAAATTTAAGTATATCATTGTTGTTGTTAATTATTTGGTTGTTGTAAAGGTTTATAGGCCTGGATATTATGATGTCTGGATTTTTGTCACTGCAAGGTAGGCTGTCACAGATGATCAAATTGATTTGGTTTGCTGTTTGTCAAAGTCCCACAATATGGGTAGAATTTATCATAAAATCCAAGTTTATAGAATCTAAAATTTTATCTTCTATTATTAACTTAGATTTGTCTGAGAGTCATTCTAGTCTTATTTCTTGTAGAAGATTGTAGAAGTCTAAATTGTCCTTTTGTCTCTTTAGCATTGATAGAAATAATGAAAAGAATAATTTTCAGGTTTGTGAGTAAAATACTTGTTGACAATTTACTGGTGGTAGTTAGAAGAGATTACCAACTACAAAAACAAAAATTCTTTCAAATGGTTTGAAGTTTTTGTATAATAAGGCAAACATGTTACTTATAAAATCTAGAAGGTTGTCTAATACTATTAATATTTTATCAATAATGATTAATTTGATTTGTAAGAGTTTTGAATTTAGATTCTTCATCATTTAATGCAAGGGTTTTTCTTAATATTCTCTTATTATCTGCAAACAACTCTTCAAACACACAATACAACTCTCTCATTCCTACTATTCTTGAAATATATTCCAAAACAATATACCAAAATGCTAAAACCCTAATTAAAAAACAAACAGAACCTATACTTATTAATCTTTCTAACAATCTTTTACACTGGTTTTACTATGAAGTATAGTCCAAACAAAACTCTTTTTAACATAAATGGGAAATAGCCCAAAACATTACACCCAAAACCAAGCATATTAAATTCTCTACACCTTTACTTACTAACCAAATAAATTTACACAGACCTCACTCACAATCAATAGATCTACATGATGCCATTGAAAAATGGTACTTACAATGCTTCTTTCTAACAACATACTTTTTTTAATATCATGATTAATACCTTAAGGTTTTCTCCAACCTATCCTAACTAGAATTACTTTATTTATTTAAATTAATAATAGTATTAAATAGGGAATAGGAGGTGTAATGTTACATTGGGTGCTCTATAGTACAAATGTAGTTAGAAATCTTTACTATAGAAGTTTTTCTAAAACCATATCTTCTTTTTATTAGCTAGCACTAAGATAAAGAAATTTGACACCCTAGTCAAGTGACTTATCAGTCCTCTTACCCAAGTCTTTTTGATAACAAAAAGACTATTAATCTTTAGATTAATATAGGTTTACTATAACAAAGTTTCTACTATGACATTATATTAATAAAAAATAAAAATAAAAATAAAAAAATGCAAGAGTTTGGTAGTGGTTGTTAAATTGTTTTATTTTAAGTGCAAAGTGAATAGTTTTACCACCTATGCTTTGTGTAGATACTCTGGTTGATGATAATAATAAGTATTTTGTTTTTTTTTGATTTAAGCATGTTGATTATATGCAAGATTATAAATGATTTACTGTTGCCTGCTGATCCTATTATAAAAAAATATAGATATTTATTATCTTTTTCAAAACCCAATAATTATATAGTATATTATAGGTTTTATATTGATCTTCATCTAGTATCAAAGTTGTTAAATAGGTTTGTAGAGTTTTTCTAATAAGATGAGTTGTTTAAAAATAATGTTCCAAAGTTTATTTTTGTTTAGGTTTTTTAGTAAAGATTGAATTGTTTGTTTAAAAGCTTTTGAGAATGTGCTTTTGGAAATTAAAGTGTCTCTGGTTTGTTTATTCAGTATCTGTTAATATTTTCTGAATTTTTAGTTTGAAATATTTTACAAAAACTTTGGTTATTTTTTAGTAATTTATTTTTAAAATATACTAGAATGTTTATAATAAGTTGTTGAAAAAAAAAGAGTTTACTATCATCAAGTTTGTAATTTGTAAATCTTAATAATAAGAGTTTATTCTTAAACTGTTTGAAATTTGAGGCAGATCTGCTCTGAATTTTTTTAACACACACATATATTGCAACTTTTAAAAAAATTGTAACAAATATAATTAAAAACATCACATGGCAATATAAAAATGCTATTTATATTATTTATTTATGTTCATGATATTTAGTAAAGCAATCTGGACATTGCTTATTAAGATATAATAGCACATTATATACTATGCACCATACAAAACTCTGTGGAAAATTTTGGTTATATTTCCCAAATATAGCCATATTTTGAAATCTGCACCAAATACAGGAACCTCTTGGCTCATGATATATTGGGCAATGGTTTTGTGAACTTAGTCATGCAACTAGTAATTCAAATTTTTTTGTTATATAAAATATCTTTTGCAAATCTTGATCATCATCTTGTAATTCTGACTAAATCATTTCTTTTTTTTTCATGTATGTAATTGTTAGCTCATTTTTAATGATTCTTTAACCAAATTCCACACTAAATTTATTCTAAAATTCTTGTGCTTTGTTGTTATATTAAGGTTTTTTGAAATCAAGTAGGTATTAACGATACTAGTATCTAAAAGCCAAAAGAATAATGGCATCCAGGTACAATATACAGAAAGTTGTATACCATAATAACCCCTTAATTGGTCAGCTATATCTATGCTACCCATGTGAAAGTTGTAATCATCAATAATAATAGGAATGAGAAGTTTTTTTTTACTTGAGTTCTCAAATACACTACAAACTTTTACAGTATTGGTGCTGGTTGTTTATAGCCTCCTTCTTTCATGTTCTACTTGATTTTCTTCTTACAGAATTTTATATACAGTTGTTAACATAGTAACAGGTCTATTATCCATTCAAAATACAGCTAAAACATCATCTACAATAGCTCCAAAAAGAGTATCCCACTCTACTTTTTGAGACTTCTTAATTTTTAAAATTTGATATATTAATTCTTACTGTTCTACAACCACTATATCTATTTTTCGCATGTAGCTAAACAAGTTTATACTTGTGAAATAGTTGTCTATATAGATATTAAAGGCTTTATTTTTTGGAAGCTGTGATATTAAATGATAAACTTGACAGCCAACTTTACTAATATTTGCAATTAATTTAATTTTAGGATTAGATTCAATGTGTGAAGTAAAAATAAAATAATAAGTATATCCCGAATCATATAGAAATAGAATTTTATATTCTTCTGGGGTAGGTTTATTTTTAATTCATACTGTGTGATAACTTCTTCCACGAAATCTGGCAACTATCTTATTAATTGAAACTTGAGATTTAGGTAAGTAAATTGATTTAGAAATATCTCAAATATGTATAGCTAAGGGCTCAACCTTTAAATACCATAGTAATTCCAAGAATTTTAATTCAATTTTAGAAATATAAAGATATCATTTTATCTTTTTATTAAATAAAATAAATTAGAAAATATTTAAAAATATTATTTAATAAATAAATAAATAAATAGTTTACTTGTTCAAATTGCACTAGTGTCATGTATTTAGTAACTTTATGCTACGAGTATTTTCAATCAGTTTACCAATAATCTTTTCTACTTTGAAGCTTAAAAACACCTATATAGATAATTAAACCCAACCATATCAATAATTCTTTAATTGTCAATGTAATCCACTTATGTTCTTTATCAGTTGATTTTACTGCTATATTAAGATTTGTATTTTTAACAATTTCACTTAATTGTAAGTCAGAAAAAAACAATCGAAAAATTGAATATAGAGTAATTTTACCAACTGTTAATTTTTCAGCTACCTTAATTTGAGAAATATGATATAGTTTTTTATATTGAAATTTTTGAAATAAAGATGGTGATGATAAATTAAGTGAATTTAAAAATTGAGAAATAGATATTTTTTTTTTGTCTAACTAGTTTTATTAACTCTCTTATATTTTTTTTATTTTTATTACTATTTGCAGTTTTATTTCCACTTTCTTCTTTAGTTTTATACTCAAAATCATCTTCAAAATATCTTGCTCGACTTCATTTGCAGTTTTAGATATTTATATCAACTCAAAAATATATGGGTTATTATCTATATTAGTAACTAGACATAATATTAAATAAATAAGTATACACAAAATAAAAATAAATTTTAAAATTTTTTTAATTACAATCAAAATCTTATACAAAACATTAAACAAAATAAAGTGAAGATCAATTGATTGATCATAATTGATAGCTAATAGAAGTGATAAGAAAAAAAAGAAAGTTTGCTTATATAATATGAAAAACAAATCAACTTCTATATTTATAATATTCAAAGATTCTAATTAAAATAGTTAAATAGATTATTGTTTATATAATACAGATACTGTACAAGTTTTTTCAAAATTTAAAAATTTAGATAAGAAATATGTTTAAGAGATAAAAATAATTAAATAATAATATTCTATGATTGAGTGAGCAGAATTTAATAATTTTGATACAATTTGATTTATCTCAACAAGACAGTTCAAACAGTATCAAAATCGATAAATTTGGATTACTAGATTGTGAGATATTTGCAAAAAAACTATTTGTAGCACAGATAACCTAAATTTTTTTAGAGTTGTATTGCAAAAAGCTTTTTGCAAATATCTTATGTTCTAGTGATTAGGATTTAATAATTTTGATATCATTTGAACCATCTTATCAAGATAAATTAAATAGTATCAAAATTATCAAATTCTGTTTGCTGGGTTATAAGATATTAATAAAAGCAAAATTTTAAAAAAATTTCAAAGCAAATTTGCAGGAAAAATAGTTTAAGAGATAGTTTTTGAAATAATTAAAGTAGATTATTGTTTCAAATATGTTATTTTTTGATCTGTCAAAATATTTATCAATAGCATTATCAAAATATAGTTTGTTATTTTCATCTTCATCATTGTTATCATTGTCTTATATTTGTATATAAATTGGTTTTATTAATCTAATTCTCAATTTTGTTAGTGCTAATAGGAGATATTGTACTGCTGTTAAGAATCTTGTTATTGAATATTGTAAAAGTAATATTATAATTTCTATTGTCTCCAATCTTCTGACTTGTATATAATCTCTATAAGAATTTTCTTCCATTATATTAAATAGTTTTATTGGTTCAGGTTTTGTAATATATTTTAATATATATTTTTTAAATCTAAGAGTAGTCATATACTGGAAGTTTATATAACTTTGCTATATCAGTAGTGTTTCGGGATGATATAGAACAACCCACCAATTGATTTTTTTTATTTTTTGTATATATATCTTTTTAAATTTGGTATGCAGTCTAATTAGGAAGGTTGTGGCTTGAGATATGAATCGGGTTATAGCAGTATCTGAAATGATAGCTTGAGATACAGACCCGGTAGCGGCAGCACAACATGCACTAGTTGGAAAAAGTTACCAAACATGCAGGTGAGTACATGTGTGAGACATGTACCATTTTGTTAGGTTTACCACAAGGATAAATGCCTATATATAGCTAAAGTCTTAGGGTTCTTATACAGCATTGCTAATCTCATTAAGAGTGTTAGGGTAAAGTGTGTTACAGAAATGGAGCCAGAGGATTTAAATGGGTATCCCTCATAGTTGGGTGCAGGTATGGCAGCTAGTGTGGAACCTAGGGCAGACTACTTAAA